GGCCACACTCCGGGGCTTGGCGCCGCAGCACTTCATGATTGGGTGGTTTGCGAAGGCAGGATGTGGTGCGCAACCATGACAAAATGAGTGCGAGCGCAATTACGACTAGTTAGTAGTTGTTATGTATAGAGCCGACCCCCGTTTAGGCTCTAACAAGCTCCCACTACCATCCCCTGTGTTGGCTTTTGGCTGAATCAAAGCCAGATGATGGGTCGATGCGCTTTCCATCGGAGGGCGCAACCCTGACAAAAGGAGTGCGAGCGCAATGACATTACACACTGTGTATATCTATACACACTGCATGCAGTCGTTTTGACTTAGATCTGCGGCGCGATCTAGGTTGTTAGAGCATTTGCCACAGCTCTGCTGGTCAATACAAAAGTAAGACAGTTGTAACTGAGTAGAATCGCCCTCTTTACTACCCCCCATCCTGACATCGTCCAGGCAACCCAGGGCAACCCGGGTGGACCCCCCCCCTCCGCACACGTCTGCGTGACTGACTCTGTGCGCATTACAACAATTGCCAGTATGTGTATACATATGTATGTATATTTACATGTACATAGCTGTCTATAATCTGTGTATGAATATATATATATATATATATAATATAATATATAATATAATATAATATATAATATAATATAATATAATATAATATATATATATATATATGCACAAAGCTACAGGCGTACAGATTTAGCCTCGCCGTCCGGAGGCCTCGACCTGAGCTTCTTGGACCCGAAGGCGCCTCCGGACGTGGCGGCGGTGCCGTCGGACGCCGAGGTGTCAGCCAGTGCCTGGGCCCAGTGGACGCCATATGTACAAGTAGATAGTGTATACATATATGTATATATGATATGTATATATGTATATATCTAAAGCAAATGTATACACACGCATGTGTCTGCATCATTTTTTGCACACTGTTTTTGCAAATGAAGCGTGAATAATCCTGGAGAAGCTGCAAATCGAGCTTGCCAGATTTCAACACGCGCCGCGTGTCAAACGATCTGCGAACCCAGGCGGCTTGGCCTCGAAGCTGCTGCTGCGGCCCACGTGCGCTTTGTCCAAGTCCGTTCCTTTGACGACGCTCGAGCCTGACAATTCTGAAAAGTTTGTCCCGTTTTCTGTGTTGAGTGGCAACCGAGAGCCATGGTAGGGACTCAGGCGATTTGCGAAGCCGTTGCCAAGTTTACAGAAGGATCGCAGGGTTGGAGATTTGAGTCCATCCGCCCGAGGAATCCTGATTGTCAACGGCCAAATTACTATGACAAGGCCTGATTGGGAAGCGAGGCGGTCAAGCTTGTTGCACCGCTGAGCTTGGACTCCAAATCGTTTTGTGCGGTTGGCAAGACAGATTTCCCCGAAATCGTCCCTGGAACTTTTTACAGCTAAAAGCCCATGCAGCCTGTTCTTCCAGTTGTGCAAACACGCGCACACAGCTGGAAAGTTTCAGGGCCCTTTTCGGTTAGCCCCCTAAGAAGGCGAACCAAGGCGGCACCAGGCTCAAAGTAGCCCAGTTCGACAGGACAGTTCGCATCTCCAGCATCTCCAGCATGCCTGTTTTTTCATTTTCTGTTTGCTTTCCATGCTGGTTGAGAATCAGATTTGCTTGCTTCCCAAGGAATGCTTCTGTTGTTTATCCAGTCTGCTGCTGTTGTATATTCCTTGCTGCAACATGCATCGAGGGTTGCAAAGCCAAACAAGAGCACCAAGTCAGCAACAGCTCGACAGGGCCAAACAGGAGCACAATCAAGAGCGCCACACCATGCGGACCAACCAGATGATGCAGGGGATGCAGGGCAAGGGAACCCCGCAGCACACAGACCTGGGCAAAGCAAGTATTTCACACGAAAACAACACAGCACTTCGGCATGTGTTTTCAGACAAAGTATTCTTGACTTCGCAAGACTACGCCCGACAGCAATTTTGCCATCTACATGCTCGACTTGCATCATCGCTTTTCGTGGCTTGCGAGCGAATGCCGAGCTTCCTGGATCCTGATTCGGTCCAGGTGCTGATTGACTACACCGGCTGGACGCCAGATGGCAAGATGTGCCCTGGCAGGGATGGAGTCGTTGGTTTTCCGAGATCACCCTTGAGCCGAGGATTGATAGCAGCAGGACTGAAAAACGCCTGGTGCGGGTGGACTCGGTCATGCAGGGCTGGACCGAAGGAGCTTCGGCTCTAGGGGCTTGAGGGGAGAGTGAGATGGGTTCAACTAGTGCGGTGACCTGCTTACTGGGCTGAACGCTCAGTGCATTGCCAACCTCTCCACATGTTATAACTGTTACTTAGTCTTACTTTGAGAACTTTGGGTGACCAGCTGCCTTTGTATTTTGGCCTGCCCTGCGGAGGACTGCAAATGATGGCTCCAGGAGAGACTCGCCGCTTCTGGATCCCTGCAGATCTTGCCTTTGGCAAAAAGGAAACTGCTCCTTGGCCCAATTCGAGCACATGGGTCCATTTCTGCGGGTGATTTGTGACTCGTGTCGATTGCCGTGTATGAGCCACAACTTCGACGGCATAGGAATCCAACAAGCCCACGGGCCCATTGGTCTTTGACATCGAGTTGTTTTCCATCGAGAGGCGGGGCTCCGGCGGGCATGCCTTGGCCATGAGTGAGCAAGAACCAAAGGGAATGTCTTTGTCAATTTGTAAGGGTGCCTGAACGGAACCATGTTGACCATGCTGTTAATACTGATAAGAAGACTCTCCTTGTGAATGAGGTGCCGGGGCTCATATTTTTTGGAACCTAGTCTGGTGGATCCTGTCTCAGGCAACCAAAGCCGCCCTCTGCGGGCGAGCAGCTGGGCTGCGGATGGCTGTGACCCTTGACCCTGGCGCATGCCCCGAGCCCAGGCTGGCGGCAGCACCCAACGATGCTGCCCGACCCTCAGACGTCCAGTGAGTCCAAGATGCCACGACCGAAGTTATTCGAAGGCGTAAACATGGGACTTGACTTGATTTGGTTGATTGGTTCTGGTGCCCTTGGCTCGATTGTCGGCTGCTTGTGACAGGCAGCAGGCGACAGGCTTTGAGCATTTGACACTTCTTGCGTCCAACAGTATCCCAACCAATCCTCGCTGTTTTGTTGTCAAAAGTCTGCCAGGAGTTGACCGCCAGTGGATTGGGCTTCAGGAAAGTCAAGCCAGGAGACTGGGCTTTCTTGCCGCACGTTTGCCACACGTGTTCTCCGACACCACGCTGACGCTGCATGTCCGGCTTGCAAGCGGACGTATGAGTAGGGTGTCATCCCTTTACTCTTGGGCTTGTGCCAGAATGCTAAAAACCAGGAAATGATATGGGGCTTTAAGAGTAAAGTGCGCACGTGTTCTTTCTCATGTGTCGGCCAGCCAGGAACTGGTCGAGCGAGCCCGCAGGTTGAGTCGAGTCCTGGAGTGCATTCATGAGATAGATATCACAGCCACACCGAAGAGTGCGTTCACTGTCGTTTGGAGAAGATTGCGTGGGCTGGAGTGGGCCTCGAGTCTTGGACCAGGTGTCCAGCGGAAAGGCACCCGGGGCCCATACCAATGGCCCGTCCAATCGTCTCCCAAAACATGTGCAACTTGTGGTTGCCCAAGTCTTCAGATTCGACGGCGCCAAAATCTTGCTTCCATCGGCGGAACTAGTGCCCTCTTCATTTCTGGTAGAACTTGGCAATGTTGGCAACTCACTTCAGAATTTTTAGATTACATTTTCTTAATTTGACCTGAGGAACGTGACCGCGCTCTACAATGGATGGGCTTCAAATGGTGATTTGGTGCTGTCGACATCCTTTGGCGCACAAGACACCTTCTTGGTCAAGGAGGAGGGGCTGGTTTTTGATCCATCTTTGGCACTCAACCAGCCTATTCAACCTGCCTGATTGGGCATTGCTGGGAATTGCAACTCAAACGTGTTGAATCTGAGGTTGAGTGCTTATCCCTTTTCTCTCCGGTAAACGTGGGGTGCCACCTTCAAAGCAGGCCACAAAGAATGGCACTGTGTTGTCGATTCTCCGTTTACTCCACCCAGAGTTTGTTGTCGGCATTCCCAACACGGCGGAATATTTTGGCTTCATGGGGTCAGGTGCCCATCGAGGGTCTGAAGGAAGCTCTGCAGCTCATGGTGGAAGGCAGGGAAGGTGAAGCGTGACCAAAGCAGAAGAGACGGCCTCTGGGTGGGTTCATGTTGAGGTTGCAGGGTTTGCTACTGGTTTGTGTTGGTGTTGAAGTGGCAAGGAAACAGTTTCCGGTTCCCAGAAAGGTATGGGCATCACTATTCCTTTTAGGGTGTGAGAGATGGGATGGGCTGGGCTCAGGCAATTGTTTGGGCAGATTTAGGGGCAGGGTTGAGGATACTTATTTGGGGTGCCCATCCCGTCTTTGATTATTTCAAATATTTCCTTTGTTTCTTTAAGAGCTCCAGGAGCATATCCTTTGATTAGTTTTTGAACGTATGGCCGCAGGCGAGACGCGACGCTTCTGGATCCCCGGGAAGCTGGGTTTCGGCGAGCGCGCCGACGAGAGCCGCGGGCTGCCGCCAGGCCATGGGGCAGTCGTAGGAACTTTGTGGCTGGAAAGGGACGGCCAAGACGTCATGTTGATTTTGGGATGTGCGCTTGAGAAGTCTTCTTTGAGCTTGTCACCCATGGAATTTTATACAGATTTGCAAGGCCTTCTGTTTTGGCCATGTGCGGAGGCCTTCTTGTCTTCGACGTGCGTTTGCTGAGCATCAACAACTGAAATAGTTTTTGCAGTTTCTGCCGGATGTGCCCAAATTCAGGTTTGGGCACTCCTGGCGCTGTGATTATTTTGCTTGCTGCACGTCTCGCGGCCAGCGAGCCGTGTTGGCACATAGACTCCAGAGTGTGCTTCCGTTTTCAGCAAAGTCCTGATGCTGCAGTCTTGACATGTCAACTTCCAAGCGCTTCGCATATGCGAGAATGCCGGCAGATTGCTGTTGCTTGCAAAGCGGCACAGCTGCATTGTCATGATCTGGCCGATGCTCAGGCACGCGAATCCAGTTGAGGCTCAGTCAGTTTCGGGCAGCCGAGCAATGACTGAGCCATATCTCCAGGCTGTCCCGGTGATTCTCTGGGAGCGACCTGCCAAGCCTGCAGGGTGGTCGGCCATGTGGGAGGCACGCCTTTACCCGACGCCCAGACATCCAGACTCGGCCCATGTTGCGTCTGCAGTGCCAGGTCTTGCCGCCACCGCCTCCGCCGCCGCCGGGGGAAGACGGGCCCGGCTCTCAGAGCAGCTCTCCGCGTTTTGCTTCCGACATTTCTTTTCTTTGTTTTTTTTGGGCCAAAACGTATGTGTTGCCCGCGACCCGGAAGCAGGTCCGCGAGACCTTCAAGCGTGGCAGGAGCAGTATCAATACAACCCTTAACCTAAACCAGAAAAGCCAGCCTCGGATGCGCCGGACAGCCAGCTCCAAGCAAACCTAAACCCTAGAAACCCCAGACCTAAACCCTAAAAACCCTAATCCTAAACCCTAAAAACAAGCCCTAAAAACCCTAAACACCCTCAAAACCCTAAACTAAACCCTAAAGCCCTTAACCTAAACCCTAACAACCCAAAACCTAATTCTTACACACCTTAAACCTAAACCCTAGAAACCTTAAACCTAAACCCTAAAAACACCCTAAAAGCCCTAAACCTAACCCTAAACCTGCCAGCACGATCATACAGCATAATAAGACCTTGTGGGCGACACGTATGTTTTGTGTTTTATTTTTCCTTGCAGAACGCGATCCGCAAGCTTGAGCGCTTCAGGGTGTGGATCTGGGTGCCAGAGGGGGAGGAGGCGCCCCTAGGGGGCCTCGTGCCCCACGAGGGCGCCTTCTTGCCCTGCGCGGAGGTGGCCCCTGCCCCAGCTGAAAGGTGACAAATGAGGTACTCATTTTGCTCATTTTGCTCATTTTACTCCCATTCTGAGTGATTTTTGAGGACAACGCCTAGCATTGTTCAAGAAGCAGACATCCCTTGCGCCCAAATGCCCCTGCTGCAGATTTCCTTTCCAAAAGGGAAAGGTGATTGGGTGGTTGGGTGATTGGGGCAGTGGCAAGTTGGCCAGTGGTGCGCCTAGGACGAGTTTCCAGATCTGCCAGGCGCAGGGAGCGGAGATGGGGTGGGACAAAAGGGTTTCTCCATGTTTGCGGGTGGGAGCCAGGCAACGTTCCGACAGCCCTTTTGGGTGTTGGGTGCGAGAAGGGGAGTTGATGATTGCCCATGCTGAGTGACCGGCAGGCGCACCCCACGATACCTTCCCCCAGGCAGGGCAAGGCCAACTTTGGGAGTCGGTTTTTTGCTTTCAATTTGGTTGAATGCTGTCTCAAAAGCAGGGTGGGTGCCCTTTTCCTGAAATGGCTTCTTGGTTTCCCCCTTTTGAAACAGGCGGTACCAGAAAAGATAAACAGCAAGGTCTGCGCTCAGGCGCTGTCAGAAGGCCGAAGGCTTGGAGGCGGGGGGACAGAGCGACATGACTCATGCCACGGAGCTGAGGCCAAACTAGAGGCACGTTCAGATATCTCCCCCTTCGAAAGAAGCCTTGTTTCATGCTCAAAGAAGCCGTTGCAACTTTCGAGAACCAGCGATCCAAGAAGTCCAAGAGTGTTCCCGGTCCAAACCATGGAGCCAATAGCTCCTTGCAAGGGCAATTCACAGAGGCTTTGAGTACCCTTTATGGGCTGGTTTTGTAGGAAAGTGAAGAGGGATCCTCCCAGGGGAGAGAGAGAGAGAGAGAGAGAGACTCATGGGTCAGCTCGCGCTCCTGAGGAATCACTGAGCATCAGGCGTTCCCAGAGCCGACAAAGGTGCAGGCTCGAACGGCACGTTTCGTGCACGGCGAGACATGGCGTGAACTGGACTTCCAGACAGCAAAAGCCATCATGGGCCATGTGAGGGAATGCCCAACGAACATGTTTCTGTGACCGTGGTGTTCAAATATATTTTCCTCAAGAAAACTTGCTCCCAGTTCAAATCAAGAGTGAGTGCGGATGCTAAGGGGCATTCCGCTTTCTGTTCAAGAGGCTTCGGCCTCGTGGCCCGCTAGGTGCCGGAGTCTGATGTCCGCACGTGGGGTTCCAAGTTGGGCCTCTTGGCCACGGCGCTTTGCAAGCGCGTGCAGAAGCAGCAGGCTTTCCAGGAGGATGTGTCAGAAGGGTTCCTGCGCTCAGGTCGTATCCTCCAACCAGTGGTCTGCAAGATGCCAAAGGCGCAGATTGGGCTCGTTGTGCGTCATTCGAGTGTTGAATCGCCCAGATGCGCTTGCTGCAACCATGCCGGTGACAGCCTCAAAGTCGTGAATCGGCTCCTAGAGGGCGACAGCCGACATGCCCGGCGGTAAGGATGGCCCGCCCTGGCCTGTGGGCACCTCGCCTATGTCAACCCTTCACTGGCTGGAGAACGTCCAGGCCTTGCCGACGTTGACATTTGACCAGGCGAGGTGTTCAGGTCGAACAGTTGCTGGAGATACACCAGAGCCCCCTACCCTCCCCAGAAAGGTCCATTGGGGAACGGCGTTTCATGTTCTTTCTCTGTGTTCTGTGTGGACTTTGATGCGCAGCCAGGTGCCAAGGAACATGACTTCCGGCAGCCAAAAGGATTTTGGCACTCACGTGGGTGCCCACACGGGTCCCAGCCAGGTGGGTGGCCAGATGGGTCCTAGCCAGATGGATTTTGTCAGCCAGAAAGGTTTCGGCAGCCAGGTGGGTGGTGGCCACACGGGTCCCAGCAGCCAGGTGGGTGGCGGCCAGATGGATTTCGGCAGCCACATGGGTCCCAGCAGCCAGGTGGGTGGCGGCCATATGGATTTTGGCAGCCAGAAAGGTTTCGGCAGCCAGGTGGGTGGCCAGATGGGTCCTGGCAGCCATATGAATTTTGACAGCCAGGTGAGTGGTGGTGGTGGTCAGAGCCATGCTCCCACCAACCCAATGGGCCCAAGCAGCCAGATGCATGGCCATAGCGGCCAGATGCACCCCAGCCAGATCCAGGGCCGTAGCCAGATTGGCCAGATGAGGACTGGCAGCCAGATCAGCAATCCTGGTGCGGGGGGTCCGTGTGGTCCTCCGCGACCTGGCAGTCAGAGCGGTCAGGCGGGGAACGCACAATTTCCTCTTGTGAAGGGGACGACATTGGCCACGCTCACCAAGTTACTCGTAGGACATTGCGCTTACCATTGGGATATACAAGGAATATTGACTGACTGTTGGCTGGGGTTGTATTTGATAGTTATCATTTGCTGCTCGGCCAGGCAAACGTCTCCACTGAAGCCCCTGCACAGGCTTGTTTGTGGGACCACGGGTCTGGGTTGTGACTCGGCGCAAAACCCACAAAACAGATGAGCAGCACCCAACACATTGGCAATTTCGGCAGGTGGTTTCAATACCAGCTTTACTTGGGGCTGTAGTAAGGCCCATATGGCCTCTACGAACCTTAATAATCATGCTAGGAGAGCCAACAATTATCAAGTTAATGGGTTTTGGGCGCTGCTCACATGAACTAGCTTTGTGCATTGTAGAGAACCCCATGGGATTGAGCGGAGTTCAAGGAGCAATTCCTGCAGTTCATACCTTCGGGGCTGTCAAGGAAGCAGAGCTCGCGATTTTCCACGAAAGCAAGGTTCATTCTGGGTCTCTTGTCGTTCATTTTAAGTATAGTTTGCGCATTGCAAGCTGATGCCAGAGCAGAATGAGGCAGCAGGTATTAGTTCTATTTCTCCACTGCAGATTGGAGGGGCCTTCTGTTGGAACATGTGTGGGGTTGAGGGTCGCAGCGTTCCTCTTGGTGCAACTTCTCGATGCGGAAACTCCTGGTTTCTGCCTCGGCGCAGGTTTGGAACCCCTTCCCATCCGAGAGCCCTGCTCATGAGCCCACGGAGCAGGCAGCATTTTCCGAGTCCAAAACCCATGAGGCTATGCCAATTTGGAGGCTATACTTTGCAGTTTCATGGGGCAAAATGGGAGGCCTCGAATCTTGATAGCCATGGGGCAGAACGTTTATTGTCAATATGGTCTGTGTGCTGATTGTTTGGTTGCTGTTCGATCCCAGAGTCTGGATTTCGTGAGCCAGGCGTGGAACCCTTGGGCCAGCGGCTGGAAGCTCGGAGTGAAGTCGGAAGGCCTCGACAGACCGTATCGAACTTACGGATCGGCTGATCCGCAATGCCACCGCGTAGAGCTATCCGGATATCAAGGGCACAACAGATAGGATGCAGTAGCTGTAGACACCGCAGTAACAATTGCTATTACGAGCAGGTCCAGAGATGTCAGTCAGCATGATCTTTGGGCTAACTGGAAAGCTAGAGAAAGACCACCTCCTAATATTCTCGCTACCTGCAGTAATACCATCACTTTTTGCGCTTGAGTTAGAGCTCCCCTAATTGCTCCGGTGCTGCCCGAGTTCTGACCATGCTTATCCAAGGGTTGCGATCTCCACTCGATGGAAACACCACTCAATTCAGGCTTGTTCGGTCCAGGCTTGGTCAACGATGTGCGAGTAGGCTCCGTGCTGAGGCGATGGCGACGGCCCGCTGTGAGCTTACTCCTTGCCAATTTCTCTTTGGGAACCTGCTGTTTTGGGAGATGGTTCTTTTCTATTTTTGTGAAGCCTTGCACAGAGTGCTCGCAGCGTGAGTCGCATACTCTGCCCGAGGTTTTGGGGAAGCAGATCCGAGACCCCCAGGCAGGAGACTTGAGATTCGCTGGTCGTCTCGGGATGGGCCCCTTGGAAACTGGCACAAGAATTCTGGCCAACATGCGGACCATATTGACCGATTCCTATCTGCGCACCTCAACAATGAGAGCACCAAGCGCGTTGCGCAGGCGGCTAATCGGCGACGTCGGAGCCTTCAACTCGGATGATTGGAGGCCGACGAAAAGCGCAAAGCTTGGGATGACTCAGGGTTGTTGTCTAGCGCTAGCGCTTCAAGACCCTTGTGGAGTGCAAGGCAGTTGGGAACAGGAAGTTGTTTGTGCTTGTTCTGAGGGTTGATGACTTGCTTGTTGGATACAAGGGGACGATGCGCATGAGCCGGTTTGGTGTACTGGTACCTCTGATTAGTCTTAGCATCCTGATAACTTCCCGTGCAGTCATCCACATAGTCGAGCAAGCATTGCTTGGCTTTGAATATTCAAGTCTTTGACGCCCAAAATTGGATGGTTTGACAGAACGTCAACAGGAAGCCACAAGACAAAGGGGGTTGCCTATTTTGGGAACCACCCACAGGAACCGCAGCGCCGCTTGAACACGGAATGCCAGGTCGCGCTCAGCGCTGCCCAGTGCGTGGGAGGCTCAGAGGGAGCTGCGGCAGTGAGGTCCCTTGCATCAAGCTCGTGGGTCTGTGTCAACAAACAGGAAGTCAACCTGGAGGGGTGCTTAGTTTTGAGAAGGTCCTACGTGAACCAGGGTCAAACCACTGCGCCCTGAGTAGGGTTCAGAGAACTGGACCACGGCAAGGAATCTTGACCGTGGCACATGTAGGTTGATCTCAAGACGGAGTATTGATGGTCATCGGCTGTCAATATTTTGGATGCCCCAGGAGAAGCATCCCGATGTCTGCACGCTCCCTGCAAGCCTCTTCACGCAACATCGATTGGACGCCTTCAGCGCCAAACGTGTACGGCGTCGACGGGGACAACTTCAAGGCCTTGCTTGAAAAGATGGGTATGAGAGTTTGGTTGGTGGTTGGGTTGGGTTCCCTGCTCAGATTCCCGAGGACCAATCCCTGGAGAGCACCTCATTTTGGCAGGTGCCGTCTGGGACTCTATGCATGTGCGATGTGAGAGGGTGGTGGGAACCAGTAATCAAGTCAGGAATTGCGGACCACTTCTGTGACACCTTTCGTGAACACTGAACCTCCCCCTCATGCAGAATGACCTAATGACCTAGAGCCTAGGCCTGTCATGGCCGCCCCGTGCGGGGCTCGGCATGGAGCCCCGAGCGAGGCTTTCCATCCCCAAACCACCTGGAAGCCTTTGCAACAGTCACACACGCGGCTACCACAAAGCACATGGGAAAATTGGTGAGCCTACTGGACATTTTGACCAAACCTCATGCATATTGCTGCATATTCATATTGTGGTTTCTTCCCTTGGTGCCTGGGAACGTCGGGCATCTAGGTCTGGCAGGTCAGCTTCTGCGTGTGCACCCGCCCCGCCTGAGCCCCAGGCCTTTGGACGCATCGTATTCCCTGGTCGGCTTTGGATCGAGCCCTGCAGATCAATCTTTCGGCGAAAAGTTCTATTTCAAGGGGATTCCTTTGATTTCGTCCTTCGGATCAACAATTGAGGCAATTGTGTTTGTGCTGTGCTGGTCGATCCACTCGGGTGAGACTCACAAATCTCTGGGTGAGGCAGCCATTTGGCAGCCAGGCTGGACATCTGTCAGGGAGGGTTGCATCTGCACATCCTATGTAAAACCGATTGGCTGTTTCTTTTATTCATTTCTGAGAATACGTTTGAAAATTTAAGGGCTGCCGCCCAGTGCCGCCGACCCGCGTTATGTTTTGACACTTTTCTGTTCGGCTGCATGGCTATGCTTTGCTTGATGCTTTGTTGGTGGCCAGCGCAATTGACTTTTGTTTCTTCCCTCAGACACCAGTAGATTGCTAGCTGACAAGTGTTTCAGAGCGCAGGAATAGGTCCGCTGGATCAAAGCCTGCTTCAAAGTGTGTCGGAGTTCTTGCCTCTCTAAGTGGCTCCTGACGTTGCTCTCTCTGCATCGGCACTCGCTTCCCCTTAGGTTGAGGGATGCCCCCACAGGGGACTCCTGCCGATGCAAGAGCTAACGCAGGTGCCACCTGGAGAGGCAAGAGGTCCGGCACACTTTGAAGCAGGCCCCCAGATCTTTTGCACCTTTTGGGTGGATGCCCGGGCTCTGTTTGGCTGCATGGCTATGCTTTGCTTGATGCTTTGTTGGTGGTTAGCGCCCCCAGATCTTTCGCACCCTTTGGGTGGATGCCCGGGCTCTGTTTGGCTGTATGGCTATGCTTTGCTTGATGCTTTGTTGGTGGCCAGCGCAATCGACTTTTGTTTCTTCCCTCAGACACAAGTAGATTGCTAGCTGACAAGTGTTTCAAAGCGCAGGAATAGGTCCGCTGGATCAAAGGCTGTTTCAGAGTGTGCCGGAGTTCTTGCCCCTTTCAGTGGCTCCTGATGTTGCTCTCTCTGCATCGGCACTCGCTTCCCCTTAGGGGAGTTGAGGGATGCCCCCACAGGGGACTCCTGCCGATGCAAGAGCTAACGCAGGTGCCACCTGGAGAGGCAAGAGCTCCGGCACACTTTGAAGCAGGCCCCAAAGGCCATGCCCAAAGCATGGACACAGCCCAAGACGAAGGCGCGCCCTTCGCAGCTGGCACCGGATACGCCCTTGAAGATGGATACCGCGCCAGTCCCGGACCCGCCTTTGTCCCATCATGAATTGCCAACTCAAGCGTCCGGCTATGGATCGCAGCAAGTTCACGTGATGCGGCCCGGATCCTGGGCCGCAGGGTTGGGCGCCAGAGCCGCCTCAGCCATGGGCCGCGCCTCCAGCACTCCTCATCGCACCTTTTGGGTGGATGCCCGGGCTCTGTTTGGCTGCATGGCTATGCTTTGCTTGATGCTTTGTTGGTGGTTAGCGTAATTGATTTTTGTTTCTTCCCTCAGACACCAGTAGATTGCCAGCTGGCACCTTTTGGGTGGATGCCCGGGCTCTGTTTGGCTGCATGGCTATTCTTTGCTTGATGCTTTGTTGGTGGTGAGATGAATTGACTTTTGTTTCTTCCCTCAGACACTAGTAGATTGCTAGCTGACAAGTGTTTCAGAGCGCAGGAATTGGTCCGCTGGATCAAAGCCTGCTTCAACTTGGATCAAAGCCTGCTTCAAAGTGTGTCGGAGCTCTTGCCTCTCTAAGTGGCTCCTGACGTTGCTCTCTCTGCATCGGCACTCGCTTCCCCTTAGGGGAGTTGAGGGATGCCCCCACAGGGGACTCCTGCCTGCAAGAGCTAACGCAGGTGCCACCTGGAGAGGCAAGAGGTCCGGCGCACTTTGAAGCAGGCCCCCAGATCTTTTGGGTCCCATCATTCCCAAATTTCCGGGTCCCATACATCCAGAATTTTCCGGGCCCCAGAAAGTCCAAAATTTTCGGTTCCCATAAATCCGAAATCTTCCGGGTCCCATCAATCCCAAATTTACCGGGTCCCATACATCCAGAATTTTCCGGGCCCCAGAAAGTCCAAAATTTCCGGGTCCCAGAAATCTCAAATTTTCCGGGTTCCATCAATCCCAAATTTTCCGGGTCCCACACATCCAGAATTTTTCGGGCTTCAGAAATCCTAAATTGCGCGCTTAGTTCTTTGCAGTGTTTGTTTAGTTGTTCGTTTTGTTCTTTGTTTGTTTGGTTGGTTGGTTGGTTGGATGTGGTCGTACCGTGAAGAAGTCTGTTGTAATCTTACGGGGCCTGGTGGTTTGTTTGTTTTCAGGAGCTGCCAAAATGGTGGGGCTTTGGGTTTGGTAGGGGATTTGGTACGCGTGTACGCCTGTACGCGTTCATGCCTATATGCATGTTCGCCTGCACGCATGTACGCGTGCATGGGTGTTCGCGAGTGTCGCGGTTGCCGTGCCAATGGGGAAGGCGAAAAACGTGCTATTTGGATGACTTGAAGCGTGTCATTTTTCGTGCCCCTGTGCGGGAATTGTAGCTCGTAGCATGTCAGATGTTGTTTTGCAGCGCAGGCGCAGTGTTTTGTGCGGGTAGACAGCGTCGCTGTTGCGGCAGTGCGATTTGCGCTTCAGGGGTCGTTGTTTTGAGGTGTTTTGCTTGGAATGCGCGTGCAACTGTTTGCTCGAGTGTTATTGTCGTTGGCCCCGTCGTACAGGCGGTTTGTTTTCACGACTTCAGATTTGCAAGAAACCGATCGAAATCATTCTGGCGCTGCAGTCCTGTGCCAGTTTTCTGAATGCGGCGCGCGTTGCTGCGTGATTGTGCGTGCCAGCCACGTGGCTGGCGTGTGCGCAGTGCTGGGCGGGCTCAGTTAAACGGAGGCGCTGCAGTCCTGTGCCAGTTTTCTGAATGCGGCGCGCGCTGCTGTACGGGCGCGCGTGATTGTGCGTGCTAGCCACGTGGCTGGCGCGTGCGCAGTGCTGAAGGGCATTTCTTGCATAGTGGCTTAAGGCACTTTAGAACAGAAGGCCAATCCAGTTCAGGCTGGTTTGCATCCAAGCTAAGAAGGTTGGAAGCAAGTGTGAAACGAAAAAACGTGAGGGAACCAAACTAACACGTAACATGTGTTGCTATGAATGCATTGAGTTTGGTAGGCTTGGGTATGCATTGATCATTCCTTGATGTCTTGCCATTTTGGGACTCAAGTGGCCTTGAGCCAAAACTGGCAATTTTGAGTTAACTAAGTTCAACATGCCCCTGTTGCGTCCTGGCATTGATGTGGCGGTGCACACGGAGTGCCGGATGCTGTCTACAGCGGCCGGGTTGGACTTCAAGCAGCACATCATTCTGGTGCAGGCCCGGGGGGACTGGGTCGCCGCTCTTCGGCTGTGGCAGTCGTGGGGATGGTGGTGCATTTTCGTCCGGGGGACGGTTTCGAGGTTCCGGGGCTGCCCCCCATTTTGCACGTGCGCGCATGGAGGAATGCGCGTGGTTTGGAGCGGGATGATGACTTCGCCTTCATGTTCCTGTCTGAGGAGGACGCCTATGCCGAGGGGGGCGCAGCGCTGGCCGAAGCATGGCTGGAAGTGGCCGGCCAGGCATACGAGCGGCTGATGCCGGCGGCTGTAGCAGTGGCGGAGGGACCGCCGGTGGGCCGCATGCTGGCCCTCAATCCCTGCTGGGCGGGCTCAGTTAAACGGAGGCGCTGCAGTCCTGTGCCAGTTTTCTGAATGCGGCGCGCGTTGCTGTACGGGCGCGCGTGATTGTGCGTGCTAGCCACGTGGCTGGCGTGTGCGCAGTGCTGAAGGGCATTTCTTGCATAGTGGCTAAAGGCACTTTAGAACAGAAGGCCAATCCAGTTCAGGCTGGTTTGCATCCAAGCTAAGAAGGTTGGAAGCAAGTGTGAAACGAGGAAACGTGAGGGAACCAAACTAACACGTGTTGCTATGAATGCATTGAGTTTGGTAGGCTTGGGTATGCATTGATCATTCCTTGATGTCTTGCCATTTTGGGACTCAAAAGTGGCCTTGAGCCAAAACTGGCAATTTTGAGTTAACTAAGTTCAACATGCCCCTGTTGCGTCCTGGCATTGATGTGGCGGTGCACACGGAGTGCCGGATGCTGTCTACAGCGGCCGGGTTGGACTTCAAGCAGCACATCATTCTGGTGCAGGCCCGGGACCGGGTCGCCGCTCTTCGGCTGTGGCAGTCGGTGGGGATGGTGGTGCATTTTCGTCCGGGGGACGGTTTCGAGGTTCCGGGGCTGCCCCCCATTTTGCACGTGCGCGCATGGAGGAATGCGCGTGGTTTGGAGCGGGATGATGACTTCGCCTTCATGTTCCTGTCTGAGGAGGACGCCTATGCCGAGGGGGGCACAGCGCTGGCCGAAGCATGGCTGGAAGTGGCCGGCCAGGCATACGAGCGGCTGATGCCGGCGGCTGTAGCAGTGGCGGAGGGACCGCCGGTGGGCCGCATGTGGAGGTCCTGGCGGGGGCGCTGATGGGCTTTCGTGCCATGAGGCTGTCCGGGGAGTTCCCGGCTTTGAAGGGGGAGTGGGAAGCGTCGTGCAGGCGGCGAGCACAGCATCTGCTCACCTTCTTGGAGAGGGCAGCCGTCATCAATGCCCCTCAAGACCCGGGCTGAGGTGCGCACGCACATGGAAGGAAGGGGTTGTCCTCTCCCTCCCCAGCATGTGGATGTCGACTCTTTCTTTCAGTGCAGAACTTCAGCACCGGCGAGGGCTATGGCATCATTGAAGTGCTTGGTGAAGCAGTCCAAGCTGCCGTTGGACCTGGGGGCGATCCAGCTCTCGGCGAAGCAGCCCAGGCTGGGGAATCTGCCTGGCAGGCTGCAGTGGCGGAGCCGCCCATGCTCCCCATGCTGGAGGACATGATCGTGTCCAAGTACAGGGCCAATGACCCAGTATGGTCAGCCCTGCTGGGCTGGTGGCTGAGAGCCACCGGAGTTCTTTGCTACGCACACGTCATGAGGTCATGGCCCAGGCGGTTGAGCCACTCCACTTTTCACGGACGGTGCTCCAGAGGCAAACAACGGCAGAACAGGCAGGGGTTCGACTTCTGCATCCCTGCTGTTTTCGCCTGTAGCTGGCCCTGGGGGCAGATTGCGGCGAGGTACGCCCTTTCCTTGCGCACCAAGCACAAAGTCCTTGTCATTGCCCCTGCCCTACAGGCCTTTGATGCCTGGGAGGTGATCCCGCCGGAGGCAGTGGAGGCGGTGCTGCCGGCGGCGGCCTTAGGGACCTTGCCAGCGGAGAAGGCGGACATCAAGAAGCGCCTGGTGATGTTGAAGCAGCGCCAGAGCACCACTGCAGTGCGCCAGGCCGGGATCGCATGTGGAGATGCCCAGCGCCATCAAGGGCAAGAAGGTGTCGCCCACGCTCCGTGATGGGGCGCTGCTGTGTGCGCTGTGGCAATCCGGGGCATGTGCCCAGTCGGAGGAGGATTGTGGCCGCAGGCACCAGTGTGCCATTCTCTCTCGCACGGGCCGGGTGTGTGGAGGGAACCACACAGCCGCAGAGTGCAGAGAGAAGCGCTGGGTGAATGCCGAGGTGGAGGAAACTCAGCCGATGCCGGAACAGGCAGCAGTAGCAGGCTTTAACCTGCTATCCGAAGCTTTTGTTGTGATTTTACAATCTGGGAACCGTAGCTGCCGTACCCTTCACACTCCTCCAGGCGCATTTGCCGCGCTAACTTGGGATATAATAAAGCTCTGTCAACATTGAAGGAAACCTCAGAAAATTCGCCAAACGGCAATTTTTGATTGAAACGGCTGAAATTTGTTGAAACGGCACTAACTTCTGCAGTTTGGCCAGAGGGCAGAAATTACGTACCCTCGGAAGATCCAGGTATGCATGTTCGCCTGCACGCATGTATGCGTGCATGGGTGTTTGCGAGTGTCGCGGTTGCCGTGCCAATGGGGAAGGCGAAAAACGTGCTATTTGGATGACTTGAAGCGTGTCATTTTTCGTGCCCCTGTGCGGGAATTGTAGCTCGTAGCATGTCAGATGTTGTTTTGCAGCGCAGGCGCAATGTTTTGTGCGGGTAGACAGCGTCGCTGTTGCGGCAGTGCGATTTGCGCTTCAGGGGTCGTTGTTTTGAGGTGTTTTGCTTGGAATGCGCGTGCAACTGTTTGCTCGAGTGTCATTGTCGTTGGCCCCGTCGTACAGGCGGTTTGTTTTCACGACTTCAGATTTGCAAGAAATCGATCGAAATCATTCTGGCGCTGCAGTCCTGTGCCAGTTTTCTGAATGCGGCGCACGTTGCTGAACGGGCGCGCGTGATTGTGCGTGCCAGCCACGTGGCTGGCGTGTGCGCAGTGCTGGGCGGGCTCGGTTAAACGGAGGCGCTGCAGTCCTGTGCCAGTTTTCTGAATGCGGCGCGCGTTGCTGTACGGGCGCGCGTGATTGTGCGTGCTAGCCACGTGGCTGGCGTGTGCGCAGTGTTGGGCGGGCTCAGTTAAACGGAGGTGCTTACGATGTGGCTGGCGTGTGTGCAGTGTTGCACGGGCGCGCGTGAGCAGGTGTGCTTACCATGTGGCTGGCGTGTGTGCAGTGCTGAGTGGGCTCAGTTAAACGGGTGTGCTTGCTATGTGGCCAACAGTTTGAAAGCAAAAAAGGAGTGGACATTTCCGGGAACCCCCCGCTCTCGTAACACAACATGGAGTCACAATTGGCCGCCCCTGTTTAAGACAAAAGATGGAGCAACCCCAGGTTGGAACAACCAAGTCTCATGAAAGTTTATTAAAGAAGACAAGGAAAGATGATAAGAAGAGAAGACGAGAAGAGAAGATGAGGAGAGAAGGCAGAAGACGAGGAGAGAACACGAGAAGGGAAGACGTGAAGAGAAGACGCGGAGAGAAGACGAGAAAAGGAGACGAGGAGAAAAAACGGGAAGAGAAGACCAGGAGAGAAGACGAGGAGAGAAGACGAGGGGAGAAGTCGAGGAGAAAAGACGAGGTGAAGAGACGGGAAGAGAAGACGAGGAGAGAAGACGAGTTGGGAAGACGGAAAGACGAGGAGAGGGGGACAAGACGAGAAGGGAAGACGAGGAAAGAAGACGAGATGAGAAGACGAGGTGAGAAAACGGGCTGAGGAGAGAAGACGAGGAGATCAGACGAGGAGCCCAAAATTTCCAGGCCCCATAAATCCCAAATTTTCCGGATCCCATCAATTCCAAATTTTCCGGGTCCCATACATCCAGAATTTTCCGGGGTCCAGAAAGCCTAAATTGCGCGCTTGGTGCCTTGCAGTGTTTGATCAGTTGTTTGTTTTGGTCTTTGTTCGTTTGGTTGGTTGGTTGGTTGGTTGTGGTCGTACCGCGAAGAAGTTTGTTGTAATCTTACGGGGTCGGTGGTTCGTTTAGCGAGCGAGCTAGCGAGCGAGTGAGCGAGGGAGTGAATGAGTGAGTGAGTTAGAGATTGAGTGAGTGAGTGAGTGAGTGAGTGAGTGAGTGAGTGAGTGAGTGAGTGAGTGAGTGAGTGATTGAGTGAGTGAGTGAGTGAGTGAGTGAGTGAGTGAGTGAGTGAGTGAGTGAGTGACTGAGTGAGTGAGTGAGTGAGTGAGTGAGTGAGTGAGTGCGTGCGTGCGTGCGTGCGTGCGTGCGTGAGTGAGTGAGTGAGTGAGTGAGTGAGTGAGAGTGAGTGAGTGGAGTGAGTGAGTTGGCACCGTGTCGCCAGTCTTTCAGGTCTGACAGAGGGACTGGACGAGGGGTAGTTTTGGAAGCCTGGTGGTGCCGTGCGTCAGTCTAGTGCTGTTTTGGCGATATCCCTTTGTCGGAGACTGTGGCTTCAAGGCAGAAGGTAGGTTTGTCTGGTCTTTTGGCTTGATACGTCTGGCAGCGCGTCGACCGATTTTAGTCTTTCTAAGCTTTTTTCCTTGTTTCTCTATTGTCGTTTTCCTCTTTTGTTCTCTTCTTTTTTTTTCTATTTCCCATTTTTTGACTTTTTATTTTTGTTTTTTTTCCTTTCTTTTTACTTTTCTAGTCTGACAGTGGGACAGGGAGAGGGTAGTTGGAAGCCTGGTGGCCGAGTGTCAGCTCGTGCTGTCTTGGCGTGTGGCGCGTGTGGTTGAAGGCCGCAGGAGGTGACTTTGGCCGAAGGATGGGGCTAAGGCGACTGGTTGGATTGAATCGGGACGCGCTGGAGTGCTCTGTCTGTCCTTCCATTCTGACAGTGGGACAAGGGGATGGCAGCTGGAAGCCTGGTGCCCGAGCATCGGCTCGTGTTGCCTTTGGTCGAAGGCTGCGGGAGGTGGATTTGGCTGAGCGACGGGGCTAAGGCGAATGAATGCTTGGATTGTGTTGGGGCGCGCTGGAGCGCTCCGTTCGCTCTCCATTCTGACAGCGGGACAGGGCGATGGCAGCTGGAAGCCTGGCGCCCGAGGGCTCCCTTTGGTTTGAAGGCCGAAGGAGATGATTTTGGCGAACCACGGGGCTAAAGGGAACGGCTGGATTGAGTTGGGGCGTGTTGGAGCGCGCTGTCAGTGTTTCCAGCCTAACAGTGGGACAAGGAGATGGCAGCTGGAGACCTGGTGCCCGAGCATCATTTGGCTACCGCCCTGCAGGTGCGGGCGCAGCTGGCTGCTGAGAGATGCCGCCAGAAATTGTTCTGCGCTGTGTGGTACTGGGCGCAGGTCATGAGATTTCTCAGTGTGACTGCTGGCACGC